TTTATAAAAGCTCTATTGCAGCGGTTCTCAACCTGTGGGTCGCGACCCCTTCGGCGGTCACACGACCCTTTCACGGGGGTCGCCTAAGACCATCCTGCATATCAGATACTTACATGACGATTCATCACGGTAGCAACATGACAGTGATGAAGTAGCAACGAAAATAATTTTATGGTTGGGTCACAACATGAGGAACTGTATTAAAGGGCCAGAAGGTTGAGAACCGCTGCTCTACTGGGCTTGGAGCAAAGCCCTGTTGCTCCGACGGCCTCCCCAGATCCCCAAAGGGTAGAAGAGGATCCCACAGGGTCCCTTCGCCCCCACGCGTCGCGGGCCAGGGACCCCCTCCCTGGGTCGCCAGGCCCCTGGCCAGACCGGGCGCACGGGGCGGGTTCGGGCGTGACCGACTGGCAGGTGAGGAGTCCCGTTGGGATTTGACGAGATTTCTCTCATCCGGGTCCATCCATCTCCACTTCCCCGCACGCCACGGAGCGAGAGGGTGGGCACCGCCCGCCTCTGACATTCAGGGGTCCCGTCGGTGGTGCCGGGGACGATGGGGGGGGCGGGGACGCGGGAGAGAGCTGGCCGGGGGTCAGCGGATGGCAGCTCCCGACCCCCAGGGCCACAACCACGTCCCCTTTGGGGTTAAAAAACAAAACAAAACAAAAGCCAACAACAACCTTATTTAATGTGCCCGACCCCATACGGGGCACCAGACGACTAAACTTCTGGCGACAGAGAGCGGCCGATAGATTGTGCTCCGTGATCGCGGAAAAACCGGAGACCCGGACGGGTGCCCCGAAAGGCAGGCTCCCCCCGCCTCCAGGTTCGAGGGCAGCGTCCCTGCCTGGCCAACAGCACGAGTGTCCATCTCCCCCGATGGCAGACCCCCGAGCCGGACACAGCAGCTGAGCGTGATCGGGGAGTTTTCGGGGGGCTGGATGCTGGGCCCCTGAGGCTCGAACATCCGAGATGTTTTCCCGGCATCTTTTTCGGGAGCTTTAGTGACGATGGGGCAGCCGGTTCCTGTCCAGCACTGGCTTGCGCCTGTAACACGACGTCGGGGGTCGAACGCTGCGAGGGGTGCTCTCTGCCCGGTGTGGCCAAGCCCGCTCCGCCGCCGGTGGGAACGGGGGCCGAGATCCCGCAAAACCGCAGCGGCTTCCAGTACCCGACAGAGAAGACGACGAACCCAGAGTGGGTACTGAGACCGACAGAGAGAGATCGACGGCTACGCGGCTACAGAGCCGTTACCGTTGGCAGGCGGGCCCGTGTTCAGAACCCCGGGCCGGGGGCTGGGGGCGCTGAGAATAGCCCAGCGTCTCCATCTCGGCATCAACAAACGCTTGTGAAGCCCCTGGACACGGTGCGCGGAGGCCGCGGCTGACGGCCAGAATGCCGAGGTTTCGAGGTCTCACCATCGTCTCTACCCTTCAAGGCACAAGGACAAGGCCTGGACCCCCTCACTCCCGAGCAAGAGTGTAAATCGGGGAGCGGAGCCCCACAGCCCAGCAGGAACGGGGGACCCCAGGGTGGGGGGTGGAGGGGGTCACGATTTCCACACGTGGGCCTCCCACTGTCCGCGAGCAGCCCTCCCCACCCCCCCACCCCCTGTGAGGCGGGCACAGGAAGGTGTCGGCCTGCATTGCCTGGCCTGTCCCCTGGCCTGGGAGCAGAGAGGAGGGCGCTCCGTGCGTGCCACGCCCCATGGGCCATCGGCTCCTTCCCGCCGTGGGCATGAGGGAGAGGCCTGAGGTTCCCCAGAAAGATCCACTGTGAACTCCGTAGTGGCCCCGGCGGGAGGGAGTGTCGTAGCTCCTGATGAAAGTCAGCCGAGAAGGGGCGTGCCCTGTG